ACTGCTGAGTTTTCTAAATTTGCTGGCATATTGAGTGCAGCACTTTCACAGCATCATCTTTTAGGATTTGAAATATCTCAGCTGGAATTCCATCACCTCCACTAGCTTTGTTTGTAGTGATGCTTCCTAAGGCCCACTTGACTTTGCATTCCAGGATGTCTGGCTCTAGGTGAGTGATCACACCATCGTGTATATCTGGGTTGTGAAGATCTTTTTTGTATAATTCTTCTGTGTATTCTTGTGACCTCTTTATAATATCTTCTGCTTCTGTTAGATCTATACCACTTTTGTCCTTTATTGTGCCCATCTTGCATGAAATATTCCCTTGGTATCTCTAATTTTCTTGAAGAGATCTCTAGTCTTTCCCACTCTATTGTTTTCCTCTATTTCTTTGCATCGATCACTGCGGAAGGCTTTCCTATCTCTTCTTGCTCTTCTTTGGAACTCTGCATTCAGATGGGTATATCTTTCCTTTTCTCCTTATTAGATTATCTCTGTGCTACCTTGGTCTATGAACTTTATGGAACTTACTCCATTGGATCTTCATAACAACTCTTCCAGGTCAGTATTAATTACTCCTATGTTATAGATAAAAATTGAGCTCAGAGAAATTAAAGAAAATGTCTAAGACCATGCCATTGCATAGAGGTAGAATCAGTGTTTACATTTATGTCTGTCTTACTCCCAAGTTCTAGTTCTGTCTTCCATGTGACATTCTCTGCCTTTACATTTCCACAGCTGGCACCTATGATATTTATGTGTTCATGGTTTCAGCTTAAGTGGAGGGAGAAGTGAGCTAGACACATAAAAAGATAAATACCCCAGGCAGAACACATATGCATATGCTATTCTGCATGGTAAAAAACAATGAGATGAGTCTTACTTTAGAGAAACAAAGGAGCTTTGAGAACTGGAGTGGTCAGGAGTGAAAGTTGAACAGAATCCATTGAGCATGGATACTGCCCTTGTGATCAGAACATAATTATTAAATGAATGTATGAAAGAATGAAGGACACTGCTCATGATCATTAAGGGTTTATTTAGCCCTGAGCTTTGTAAGAAAGGTTGCAGGCTAACTTTCAAATTTGAATGAAAAAATATATCAACAGTGTTAGAAATGATAGCGCTGGGATTATTTAGTTATTAAATTCAGTTGCATTTTGGAATTACTTAGTGTGTTCCAAACAATGTGCTCAGTCACAATCTATGCAAATTATTGGAGAATCTCCAGAAGTGGTACCCAAGCACCTGAGCATCAGTAATTTCTTAAGCACCCAAGCCAATTGCAGTGTGGAGCCAAACTCCAATGCAACATGATATGAAGAGTCCTCTGACAACAGTCATAACCTGCCATCGGGTAGAGATTTATTCTGAGACAGTAGACACCTGGAAACTGAAGAATTTGGACAAAGTTGATTCTTCCCAAAATATACTCTCTAATTTATGTCACAATTAATGATTAATTAGACATATTACTAAAACTTGAATATCAGAAATACAAGTCGCATTGTCAGTTACATTTATAAAATTGTTGAGTAACCACTTAGGTGTTTGTTGTTGCTGCTGTTACTGTTTTAACCTTGGGACTTTTAAGAGTCTTTACAGTTCTAGCATGTGTTATATCTACCAAAATGAGGATCTAGTCTGTAGCACTTTCTAACTTTATATCATTGCTTACTTTGTTGTTGTTGTTGTTTTTTGTTTACATTTTGTAGAAGTAATGTTTCATGGAGTACATTCTGGGAACAACTACCGAAAGTTGACAAAGCTAAGAACAGCTTATTCTGAAGTCTAGTCTGCCTATGTGTTTCTTTAAATACATTGGATCCACACAATCTTATGATAGGAATTAGCATATGCATCTTATAGATGAGGAAATTGATGCTCTACTACTTAACTTGGTTAAGTTCATGCAATAAATACAGAACTGGAATTCAAATCAGGTGTATGATTGCTAATTCAGCAACACCTCTTTGTGTTAACAGCCTCTCAGATTTTCTATGTAAAATCCCTTGCCCCTCCAGGTAGAGCCTAACCAGCAGTTACTGTGCTACAGCAATACTTACCACTGCCAAGTATTTGCACTCTTCTAAACAGTTTAATGTTGAGGTTAAATTTCCCAATTAAAATCTTTCTGACTTCTGTTTATCTGACTAAATGCACTTTGTATTGTACTGCAGACTTTGTGTGCACTGCAGTCATTGTCCACAATCACCTTTCAGCCCCTCCTTGGCTTCCCTAAGAAACATACTGTCTGCAGCCACACCTCACATTGCTAATAGCCCCTCTGCTGTCTCCCAGAGTTCTTAAGTTATTAGTGTCCTCCAACAAGCAAGCATTGGTGACACTGACTCATTTTCTTCTGCTGCTGCTGCTGCTTTTAGTGTTTGGATGACTGTGCAGGGTTCTGCGGGAATATGTATGAAAGCGTAATTACATTCCCTGCCTTGGGAAGTGAATGTTGGCTAGAAAGATGCCTCTGCCTGTGGTGTAAAACATCACAGCGATCAGGTTGGTTTCCCTGTATTTGCACGTGGCTGAAAACCGGCTCTCTCCACCCCCAGGCAGACAGATGAAGCCAGTTATCTGCAAAGGTGTTAGTGTCCTGTTAGCATCCGCACTTGTCTTGACTTTACGCTCTCCTAGCAAACTCAACAACAGGCTGAGCAACCCAGATCATCTCTTGATCTGTATGAGTCAGTGATGCAGCCTGGAAAATATAAAACCACTTCATTTTTCTGGAATCACAAGAAAAATCAGCCATGAGCAACTTCATCAGATTATCAACACACGTTTTCCAGTTCCCAAACATTAAGCACATGCAGCATTTTCAGATTGAAATCTCCCAATATGCATGAAAAGCTTTCTTTCTTTAAAAAAAAGCAAAAAACATTTATTTGTTTGGCTGTTCTGGGTCTTAGTCGTGGTATGCAGGATCTTTGATCTTTGTTTCAGCATGCAGGAATTTTAGTTGCAGCATGAGGGATCTAGTTCCCTGACCAGGGATCAAACCCCAGTCCTCTGCTTTGGGAACTTGGAGTTTTAGCCACTGGACCTCAAGGTAAGTCCCAGGACACCCTTTCTTGATGCAACATTTATGTACTGGGCACCAACTGTGTCCAAGTACCATGACAATTCAGGACAAAAATAAGGATACAAAGTTATGTTATGTGAAGGCTCAGGAATTCTTTAGATAAAGCATAGATTTTAATTTGGGGGGTCTCATAGCTACCTCCACTGTGGCAATTCAGAAGAACTTTGTTTTTCCTTTCTCTCAGCTGTGGCCTATGTAAATGAGGCTGTTGGATAAGTGACCTGGAGAAAAGAGGGTGTTTTTGTAAATACACTGCCATTCATTCCACAAACATTTCCCACCTATCCCCACATCTAGTCATAAGCATACAGCACACTTTAATCCCTGGCTATACTATGCTACGGGCTTTCACAGAGGCTCAGCAGTAAAGAATCTGCCTGCCGACTCAGGAGATGTGGGTTCAATCCCTGGGTCGGGCAGACCCCCTGGAGAAGGAAATGGCAACCCACTCCAGTATATTCTTGCCTGGGAAACCCCATGGACAGAAGAGCCCGGTGGGCTACCGTCCATAGGGTTACAAAAGAGTCAGGCATCCTTTTAGCAAGAGAGACACAAGCTAATGAAACCATGGACAGAGACACAAAGCGCAGTGGAAAAAACAAAACTGCATCTACATTCAAATTGTCATATGGTTTTGCAATTTCCAGGTATTCGGCAGGGGCAGAATGGTCCATGGCAACTGGAATCAAATTAAGAGAGGTCCACAGAACCCCTGATATGCTCCTACTTAAATTAGTGCAGCTTCTCCTAGCACAGAAGGAACTGACATCATTTCTATTCACTTGTATGCTCACTGGCCTCCTTAATACAGCTTCAGGCATTAAATGTTTCCCCATAGACAATGCAGGTGTCACTTCTGAGAAACGTGCACACTCTGTTAACACTAAAGGTGGCAGCCAATTCTGGAACTATAATTGGAGCTTTTCTTCTCCATTCCAGTTGCATGATTTCTCTTTCTCTTCAGTGACTTCCCTAACTTTATAAATGAATACAAAGGCTCAGCCACATGCTACAGCAAAGATATTTGCTTAATCCCTTTAGCCATCTGTAAAGCAGGCGTAATACACTCTATCAACTCATCAGTAGCGAGTGTGTGTCTATGAGTGTGTGTGTGTGTGCATGTCTGTGTGTATGAGGGCATAATGCAGATAATACACCCGATGAAGCCCACATAAGTAAACATTGTGTTTATTTAAAGATTTAAGTAAGGCAGGGCAAAGCTGTGGCTTGTGAGTGTAAAATAACCCTCCACGTTGGCTGTTCTCATTGCTCACTTGCACATGAATGTGGTCCTTGATCATTAATGTTGATTCTAGAGGCACAATGACGTATGCTTAAGGAAGTGTACAATATGCAATTCTAGAATTTGCTTTAGCCAAATTCAAATTCTATGTGGTGTTAACTCATTTGTTTTTCATTAAGTTCTTTATTAACAGCCAAATCCCTTGATTATTACACTTCTCTGAACTTTCTTGTTAATCTTACTTACAAGTCACATAATGCCTGAATACATTTCTCTGAAATGTTGCTGAGATAAAAGAGCTGACAGTGACAGTAATTAACTTCTAAATAAATATTAAAATGAGAGGGCATTGTAAATAACCCCCAGTGCAACGCATCCATGCCGAAGTTCCTAGGACGTTCGGCAGTCAGTCTGTCACCATTTGAGCTAACGGCAGCTCTGCAACTGATTTTGGAAGATATTCCTCTATACTATTTAGCCTCCTTAGCCTTTTTTAGTTCTTGGTTTTAGCTAAAATACATATTTTATACTTTGCTTTTCACACATTTGGCCTCTCAGCCATATGTTCTCCTGCCCAATTTTCCACAGCTTACTTGCATATAAAAATTCTCCCTAGGTAGGGACCAAGTTCAATGGTTTCTGCTTCCCACCACCCACCCCATCATGATGGATCCTTGGACACCACTGGCTGGAAGCCCAAGTGGTGCATCTCGTGTCTGTGGAACTGAGGTCCATTTGCTCATAAGATATTCATCTCCGACCTGTCAAACAGCAACCGTGAAAGCGTCGTCTGATTGGCTGAGGCTAGCTGTCTGTTCCATAAAAAAGCAGAAATCACACCAGTACAAGTGTGATGTCTGGCATCCATCTGACAGGGTTGAAATACTAGTTCTGACCCAGATTACAAGTGTAACTTTGAACAGGTTACTTAACATCTCTGTCTTCATTTCCTCACATGTGAAATGTGGAAAACCAGTATCCTCTCTTAAAGATTTTGTAATTATTAAATGGAATAATACATGTAAAGTGCTTCCCCCAGGACTTGGCAAGGGCTCACCCATCAGCAGCTATTATGATCTTTATTAGGAGTTCACATGAGAGATTTCTGGGTTGCAGCCCTTTACAGCTTCCTGGAAAAGGAAGATACAGAGAAGCTTCATTAACTTAGATTTACCTGGATATTTTGACGAGTTTCTCTATGGTAACAGCAGTAAACGTGATGAGGCTTAAACTGTATTCTCAAGGGAATCTTGTCTTTTAGCTTCAATGTCTTATCTTTTGGGCACAATGTGTTTCTCTCTGATCCTCGTCTCTAACCTGCACCCATCTTCAGAAGGACAGTTGTGACAAGTGGGTGGCCAGCACTCTCCCTGTTGTTAGTTTCATTACTCACATGGCAGTGGGTGAGTCCAGAAGGTATATGCCAAAATCCTTTTTAAAAAGACTAAGCACATATGAAGGCAAACATAACTGAGATTAAAGGGAGTGATTAGTAAAACATACTGTTCATGGGGTTTTCAAGGCAGGAATAGTGAAGTGGTTTGCCATTCCCTTCTCCAGTTTTATCAGCACTCTCCACTGTGACCTGTCTATTTTGGGTGGTCCATCATGGCATAGCTCATAGGTTCACTGAATTACAGAAGACGAGGTCACAGAATAACAGGGCGGTTGGGGTGAATTGCACCTTGGGTGGACTGTGGAAGTGATCATGTATGATGACAATTTCCTTTCCACGTGTTCCTGGCTATAGGTTACAGTGGGTTAAGTTGAGTACCCAAAGGGGTTGACCATACTCTGTCATTCTGAACCTTTGAATTTCTCTGACCCCAAAGTTGAGGAAGTTTAAGAGTAATCTGCTTGCACAGTTCAGCCAGTTTAAATAGTGTGTGTGTATGTATGGTTCATTTGGAGATTGAGATGCTGAAAACCAGGCAAACAGAATTAGCAAGAGGTCATAGGACCTCCTCTGTCTTGTGTAATAATAGCTCAATTAATCCCAACTAGGAAAGGCTGGAATAGGTAAACACATAGACTGATGATGAGTCTATGAAAGTGCTAATCATGAGGCAAGGAGGGGCAATGGGGAAATTTCCATGAGGAGAGCTCTCTGCTGGTTCTAAAAATACCCCAGCTTCAACCCTGGTCCTCCACTCATCACTGCACAGTACTACAAAGTTCCTCTCAAAGGTAGTCCTGGACCAGAGGCATTAGCACCTAACAAATTGGAATTTGTTAGAAATACAATTTTCAGGATTCCCTGGTGGTGCAGTAGATAAGAATCAGCTAGCCAACATGGGAGACATGGGTTCAATCCCTGGTTCAGGAAGATTCCATATATTGCAGAGCAACTAAGCCTAAGCACCACAACTACTGAAGCCCCTGAACGGTAGAGCCAGCAAGTCGCAGCTACTGAGCCTGTGTGCTGCAACTACTGAAGCCCATGTGCTTAGAGCCCATGCTCTGCAATAAGAGAAACCACTGCAGTGAGAATCCAAGCACTGAGACTAGAGAGTAACCTCCGCTGTCTACAAGTAGAGAAAGCTGACTCACAGCAGCAAAGACCTAGTGCAGCCAACAGTAGCTAAATTAATTAATAAAGGAATATAGCAATGTGCATATGTCAATAAAAAAGAAATGCAATTTTTAGGACTCACACTAGACCTACTGATGAGGCACACTTGGAGGAGGGACCCAGCAAACTTCTTTAATAAACCTTGCAGATGGTTCTATTGCATAGTGGAAGTTGAGAACTTTCCGAAATGATGAGCATTGGTGAATCTGCACTGAGGTTTTTTATGTGTACTGTGTTCACAGGTCATTGTGTGTTCTATCAATGTGAAATCCAGGAGCTCCTGATTTCAGCCACAGATAAAAACAGGTCTTGTCATCTATTTCCTGGAATCGATGTCCTTCTACTGTATTTAGAGCTCCACACAGGGCAAAGTGACTGGTAATCAGGGCTCAGAATCTGAAAGCGAGTACGTGGAAAACATATTCTCAGGTTTTGGAGAACATCTTTTTCCTTCTTTGCAGGGGAAATGATACCAATCTTTGGAATCTCTGTGATTAGCTAGAGTGAGGGATTGCCAGTTATAAGGTATCAATAGAAAGGTCTTCCTTTCTTCTGCCTTTCTGGGAGCTCTCAAGCAGCTATTTTCAAAGTTCACTGTCTCAATCCAGTAAGCAGTCAGTGGGACTAAGATTGATACTTCCCCTATTCAGATCACACATCTGTATTCTAATAATTGGGAATTAGATTAGTCCATATTAGACTTTAAAAACTGAAATATTACAAACAAGAATTTAAGTTAACACTTACAGAGTTTAAACCCTCTTTTTATGTACCAAGTGAAAATACTCCTTTGAGTCACAAAAAAGTGAGGCACAACTTAGTGACTAAACAAAGAACTGACAAATCTTGGAAGATATTGCAAATGTTAGTTGTTCAGTTGTGTCTGACTCTTGGCAAACTCATGGACTGTAGCTCACCAGGCTCCTCTGTCCATGGAATTTTCCAGGCAAGAAAACTGGAGTGGGTAGCCATTCCCTTCTTCAGGGGATCTTCCTGACCCAAGGGTTGAACCTGGGAGAAGATACTGCAGGAAGGATGGAAATAAATCAGTGTCCCACATCTCTGGCTGTCTCCTTCAATGCAGTGTGCCCTTTGGGTGTTGGGGAGACAAGCTTCTTCCAAAAGAAAGTAAGATTGACACTGTTCAATAGCTCTCTTCTGTCTCTGCCTGGGATTTATTTCTCCATCCATTTTCTAATCTTGTTTGTTTATATCAAATAGTTTCCCTGTCCTAACCTGCAATTTTTATGGGCAACCATTTATAATTTTTCATTTTTTCTCCCAACATTTTTCTTTCCATGGTGTTCTAATCCTGAGTTTCCTCACTGCTATTTAATTTAATCTTATTTATAATTTATTCTTCAAATGTGTTACCCTTATATGAAATGCCATTTCTGTGACAATACTAAGAGCAACCATTCAGGAAATGTTATTTCTGCTTCTCTTTGACCACCTCCCACAAATTATTTCTACATAATGTTGATTAATCTGTAACCAGCACTTTTAAAAGCAGCATTCCATTTCTAGCATAAAAAGAAAAATACAACTGTAAATCATTTTGCACTGATTTACAGTCTTAAAGAATTAACTATGGTTGGGCTTCCCTGGTAGCTCAGTGGTAAAGAATCCACCTGCCAATGAAGGAGACACTGGTTGGATCCACAATCCAGGAAGATCCCACATGTCGCAGAGCAACTACGCCCAGAGATTGAGCCTGTGCTCTAGAGCCAGGGAACTGCAACTCCTGAGCCCACACACCACAACTACTGAATCCCATGTGCCCTAAAGCCCACGCTTCCCAACAGGAGAAGCCCCTGCAGTGAGAAGCCTGTGCAGCACAACTTGACCATAGCCCACACAGCAGTGAACACCCAGCAGAGCCAAAAATAGTCAGACACAGCTAAGCACAAACATAAATGCAATCATTAAAAAAAAACAACACAAATATGGTTGAAGCCAAATGATGGAGGGACCTTTCCAGTTAAGTAGAAGTTTTATTTTCAGGTCCTTTATAATTTCTTTCATTTTTCATGGTCTGCTTACTTCATCCTTCAATATCTACAAATAACCTTGAACATACTATGCAGTAAAATAGTTCATTGTATTCTCCATAGGGAATTAAAATTCATTCATTCTGCAAGGTCTTGTGACCTGAGATACCATGAACTGTAGGGCAGAGATGACTAGACAAGAAATTAGGGGGCAACATTTCTTTCCCTTTTATTTTCTGGGTATATTTGGATGAGCAATTGATCTGTCTAGATTTCAATTTTATTCCCTAAAATGTTATGTCAATCGTAAGTCCAAGACTCTAAGAATCAGGTAGTACCACACATATGAGATGGTTTATATATTGTTAAGTTTTTATACCAAATTCCCTACTGGACATTTCCACTTATAGGTAGTGGAGCTTTTTCAAAGTTTACTCAGAACTCATCCTTCCTTCTCCAAACTTTCTTCCTCTCTGTGCTTCTTATTATGGTACCTGGCACTGTGCACAGAAACCCAGCAGCAATCTTCGGGTATTCACTTCTCCTCAATAATCACATTCAGTGAATCAAGAATTACTATCAATTCTACTACTTAACTTTATCTTGAATCTATCCCTTCTTTCTTATTATTTATCTTTGCAGCCCAATTCTACTGACTAGATTACTATTCCTTGTCTCTGTCTTCAGTTCCGAATTCCTTTAATCCATTTTTTTAAACAAAGAGTACAGAATGATCCTTTTATGATGCAAATAGGACCCTTTCATTCTTACTTTAAATCATTCATTGGTTTCTTTCTACCTTTAAGATAAAGTCTAAACCCATTAAAATGTCTCCTAAGACTGTTCTTGACTTTCAATTACATAATATTCTTTCTGTTTTCCCCAATATGTCCTGCTTTTTCTCACCTGAAAGACTGTTCGTCTTTTCTGTCTCCCCGGACTACCTTTTCCCCAGTTAATACCTACACTATTTACTTACTTACCTTGCCAAATCCCACTCTTTTCAGTTTAAATATTACTTCCCATGGGAAGCATCCCTGAATTTCCATCCCTTGGCTGGATACCATTGTTGTGTGCCCTCACAGTGTGCTGTGTTTCCTATTAGAGTTATTAATAACAATCATAGTTACTTTTAAAACATCCTTCTCCTGGACTATACGCATTATGCAGTAAAGACAATGCCTGTCTTATTCACCATTGTCTCTCTTATGCCTAGCGCAGTTCACAGTAAACATTTGTTGAATAAGTGGATTGTTATAATGACTCAAATGAAAGTGAAAAATAGTTTCTTCCTTCAAGAAGCTTCAGATCATTAAATATTGACAAATCACTACGACACAAGGCAATGTAGGGTAGGTGAATAATAATAATAAGGTTTAGCATTTACTCCAGTCTAGTGCTATACTGGGGCTTTCCAGGTAGCACTAATGGTAAAGAACATGCCTGCCAATGCAGGAGATGTAAGAGACACAGGTTGCATCCTTGGGTTGGGAAGATACTGTAGTGGAAGGCATGGAGACCCACTCCTGTATTCTTGCTTGGAGAATCCCATGGACAGATAAGGTAGAGCTACAGTCCATAGAGTCACAAAGATTTGGATACAACTGAAGTGATTTAGCACACATGCATGCAGGTACTATACTAAGCCATTCATATACAAGCTCACTTCATTCTCACAACAGTCCTAAGGATGTAACTTGACAGTATTCTTATTGTCATTCTCATATCAGACTGAGAAGGGTTCTGGGACTTGCTGATGGCAACTCACTGGGTTGTGAGGGAATGCATTAAAATTCCAGGGGTTTCTGGCTCTAGACTTCATGTTCTTAACCTCTTATGCTGCCCTGACTCCGGTTACCTCCCTGCCTCCTTAGGAGGGGTTTTAGGTTGCCTCTTTCTCACTCTCTGGCATCCGGGATCCTGCTTGGCTTCCCTGTCCTTGGGGTGTGGTGGTCACACTGAAGCCTGCATTCTAACATTGCCCTCCTGCCTGATGGGGGCCTTGGTGCCAGGAGGGTTCAGATGCAAGCCCGGCAGAGTCTCAAAGTAGTTCAAGCAGCACAGGTTGCCAGGGATGCAAAGTATATCCATCAAGTGATGAGGTAGTGCTGTCTCAACCACCGTGAATCCAGGTCCTGGCACATTACTGAGCAGAGGTTTAAAGCCCTTGGTCAGGGGCTTCCATGCTGGCTCAGTGATGAAAAAAATCTGTCTGCCAATGCAGGAGACATAGTTTCCATCCCTGATCTGGAAAGAGCCCATGTGCCTTGGAGCAGCTAAGCCTATGTGCCACAACTAGTGAGCCTGTGCTTTAGGGCCTGGGAACCATAACTACTGAAGCCCATGCACCCCAGAGCCTATGCTCTGCAACAAGAGATGTCACTGCAATAAGAGGCCCTCAGCTGGACAGCAGCTCCCACTCCCCGCAGCTAGAGAAAAGGCCACACAGCAATGAAGACCTAGCACAGCCCAATAGAAATAAAGCCCTCAGTCCACCTGTCTGTAATGAGTTGGTGCCGTGGTTCATGAGACATAGGGACCCTGACCAGTCTTGCATTTTTACTTTGCACTGGGCCACATAAATTATATAGCAGACCCTGCTAGGCTGGGAGGGTGACTGATGAATTCTAATTGCTTAGATCCAATCTTTGCACAGAGTAATTACTCAATAAATATGTTGAATGAATGTATACCTGGGTCAGACTACAACCCTTTCCTACTTCAGATCTCCTGAGGCACTGCTGTGGCTAGCAATGAAAAAGAGACACCTTTGATGTCGACATGAAATTTTAGTTTTAAACTCAACCTCACTGACTTGTAATAACTAAGTGGAAGATAGTTTTGGAACTGCCCCAGATATTATTAGGATATATATTTGCCCATAGGAGAACATTTCCATAACATAGTTGGGAACAGTAATGGGAGGAAAGAAAGGTTGTTTGATGTCTGCACCTCCAATGTCATGTTTATAAGCTGGTTAAGAAAAAAAAAAAAAAGAACTTGGACTTCCCTGGTGGTCCAGTAGTTAGGAATCCCCCTGCCAATGCAGGGGGCGTGGGTTTAATCTTTTGTCTGGGAGGATTCCACATGCCACAGAGCAGCTGGGCCCATGCGCCACAACTACAGAAGCCCACATGCCCTAGACCCCACGTGCCGCAACCAGAGAAGTCACCGCAATGAGCAGCCTGTGAACTGCAGCTAGAGAGTAACCCCTACTCACTGCAACTAGAGAAAACCTAAGCACAGCAACAAAGACCCAGTGTAATGAAGACCCAGTGCATCATTTTTTAAAAAATGATGATCTTCACAGTGGGT